GGAAACTCTTGAAAACAAAATGTATTCGCGGTACACAGTGAGAAAAAATGTCTATAATTGTATCATAAAATATGATACCACACTAAAAACACCACAAAAATCTTTGACAGAAACTTGTTATAAATAAGCAAAAGTTACATATAAGTTTTAAATTTTGTGGGTTATTTTTTCTCAGTGTCCACGACCCCAGAAGCCATGCAGTGGCATTAATAGGCTTCGGAAAAAAAGAAAAAAAGAAATGCAAAATGCTTAGACGTGCCTCTGGCCGGCAGCAGCTACAATGCCTTTGTGTGCCATGACCAACGTTGCGTATGAGTAATGTGCGGCTTGCCAACCCGTTGTGGTCGTTGTTGTTGGTGTTGTTGATGGTGTTGTTGTTGGTGTTGTTGTTGGTGTTGGTGTTGTTGTTGTTGTATGTTGTTGTTGGTGTCTATCTGTCTTTGTTAGGCGTGTGTGTATGGGTGTGGACTGGAAAGTAGTTTTCAATTAGCTCAAACCTGATAGCAAAAAATAAACCCATTGAGCAGCACTGAGTGCTTTGTTTTCCGAATATACTTCCCGCAAGGGTTTTGTGTATTTTTCGAATCTCTTCGATTTTGGTATCTAATCGGTAAAAAGTCAAGAGAATACAAACTCAATGCCTTAATATATTTATAAGAAAAGAAAATATAAACTTATTGACCTGACATTAACATTAAGGAATCAAGTTAAGATGCATTTTAAGCTTCTTTAATACCCAACTTTACTTATTCTAAATGTTCAATTTCAATTGAAAGCTAAATTTCATGTGAATATATGTGTTTTTAAAATAGATTTTTTAAATAAACTTAATTCTAAACTTAATTCTTTTAGGGTATAGAACCTTCGCTCATGATGTCATTCCAATTTCTTCTTCTTGGCCACAGCAACTACGAAAACAGAATCATCTGCTTGGGGGCCAATTCTGAACCGGTTGAATGGACATAGAGGTGGAGGATAGAGAAAAAGGAACGGACTGCGGACTGCGGCACATTTGTTTTCATCGGCAATTGGCAAGTGAAAGCTTTTAGCGCGAATTGTGCACGGCAATCACTTCAAGTGGAGAAGAAGCCAGGACCATAAGCAACTTCCCAGAATCTTTATCTGTATTTCTATACCCTTTCAAGGATATTATAATTTTAGACAGGTACGGGCAACGCCTTGTGTTGTTACAAAAATAAGGAATAAGGGAAAAAGGGGTTTCAAATTCAAAAAATAAGGAAATATTTAAGCAATTATATATTTACAAAACTCAACTTCATTACGTATTCGTAAATTATTGTATATTTGTAGTAGAAAAGTAGTTGGAAAATTAAAAAAACTCCAATTAAATCTTACAAATACTCAAACTCAATAAGACTAAGACAAGTATTAATTCCCTATTCAACAATTAAAAGTAGATTCAATATCCCCAACAACTGTAAGAGCATCTTCTCTCCGTCAATAAAATCCTTACCACTCCCTCCTATCCCTGAGCCACCTGTTTCGACCGGTCGAATAATTTCCCGCAAAATGCTAAGCAGATTACTTTTAATGCCTCGAGCGTAACGACTGCGGCAGTTAAATTTTGTGTATCCCGTCGGATCCTTGTGTAATGCAGTAGTAAATTTTTTAATGGTCTTTATGCCCTGATTCCGGCGCGTTAAATCAAATTCCGGCTTACCCAATCAGGACATCAATTTTTCCTTTTTGCTTCGTGGCTGACTTGGTGCTGTGTGATTATTTGAGCATTGACTTCAATTGACTGCAGGTCACTAGGGGTCCCCGGCGGTGTCCTGGCAACGTCTTGATTAATAAAGCTACACGGGGACCGTGTCGTCGAATTTGTTTTATTCATAAATTTATAACCAGCGGGGCCGTAACGAATGGCGGCCGTTTGGCAAATGTTTTATTGCGTACATAAATTGCAATTAGTCGCAGCTCCCGTCGGGATAAATGTGTGCACACGCATGTCCTGTGTCGCCAGGGAGTCGCTGCCACTCAAATGACGAACTGCCCTGCCAGCTGGCCGAAGCCATGCCATCCCCGGTTTGGGTTAACAAAACATCAATTGACTTATTAATGTTTGTTGTGCTGCCGGGAAAACCTCGCAAAAAAAACCCAACAAAAAATAAGTGTATGTGAAAGAAGGAAAAACTGCCGCCAAGACGCGGTCGCCTCAATTGGGTTCATGTGGCGCCCTTTGGGACATTTCAGTGGTCCGCTCCTCGCCGCAGTCACGTCTGCATTTAATGTGAAATTATGACTTTAATGGCCATACAAATATATACTAGAAAAAGTTTGGGTATACAACCAAATTGCTTAATTTTTATATACACTTCAAGGGGTCCCCTTTAATTGCCAGCAAAAGGTCAATGTGCTCTTGGGAAATAAGGGAATATGAAATTACTGAAAATATCACAAACACTGCTCTTATTTTTTACAATTAGCTTTGTGTCTTCTTGGAAAAATTAAGCTTTTTCTTATAGTCTTGGTGAAAAGGACAACCTGAAAGGTATTAATCAGGGTTTAAGCTTCCTCTAAAAGAATGTTTGTAGAAATTAAGGAAGATATGGGTTTACACTTGCAAAAAAGTTACCCAAATCTATGCAAATATTTAGAAAATATGTATAAAGGTTGAATATTTTTTATAATATTACATTTTCAAGGGTCAGTCAAAAGAGTCAAGTGACATTTGCAGCTCTCAAGTGGCATTGCAGTATCTAGTTCGCTGGAATATCCCGAAAAAAGTGCTAACCAAAGTCCAGCAAATGTTGAATGCCAATTTGATTGATTGACTTGGCCAATACGTGTGTGTGTGTGTTTGCCTCGCTTCTGTGTAAATAAGTGTGCTTTGGTGAGCGCGCAAAAAACCATGCTACACTTTTTAACTCGTATCCTGGATCTGTGAGCTTGTGTAACTGTGTGTGTGTGTTTGGGCTGTGGCTTCCTTTCATGCTGTAGGCAAACGCAGTGTAAAAACATTTAAGGTTTCAATTAAGTGAAATCCCAAACGACCAAAAAAAAAAGAAAAATAAATGGCCGAAAAAAAGGCCAGGACTCCGCCGAATGACTAAAGATGCCCGGGAATGAGGCTGAACATTTTCAAGCAATCAATTTGGGCTTTCCAGTCCGAAGAAAGGGAAAAAGCCAATATATATATATACGGTTTTTTTTTGTTGCTGGGAAAACTGGACTTGGCCCAAGTGTTTTTGGGCTTTAAGCTGGACCCTCTAGGAGCTTACGTGCAGCATGACAAACGATGGCTGCAGATCCCAGGACCAACCCTTCCATCAAGTGTCAGAGTTCGGACTGTAACAGTCACTTGAGTTATATTGAGATTTATTAGAGAGAAAAGTGCCAGCTTCTCCCCCCATCATTAATTATGATCGACCGGCTGGCAGCGATTTTATTTGTTTTCCCCCCAACGAATTTTGAACGGCTGCAAGCAGACTGCAATTTATGCGCCAGCCGCCTGCATTTCAATTTCACTTGCACAGTTTTCAGTTTTTCATGAACTGCTCGAAAAAGTCCGAAAGGCATTTGGCAAAAAATGACTCTTGGCCATTGGCCAACTCTGTTTTTTGTGGGTGAACCCTAGACTTGGAGGTGGGTGAGTGACCCTGTTTCCGTCTTTGTTTGCAACTGGCTTAAGAAATCAACAACTTACACTTTCTTTGGCCAAAAGAAGCAGCCTCCCTCTCAGCCAGTTGTTTTGACACTTTTGGGCCAAGCAAAAGTTTCTCCTGCCAGCCCCCGTAACAAAAAGTCCCGCGAATCTTACTTGAGTCCTTTTGCCAAAAAACGGAATAGAAATTAAGTTGAATAAATATTGGAAATGGGTAAAAAACGAAGGGGAACTATTATATATATTGAATCAAATTGAGTAGTTAAAAAATGAATATATTTGGAAATATTTTAGACAACTATTTTGATTCGGAAAAATATTGATTTATATTCTTCTTTAAATGTCAGAAATACTTCTCTGAGTGTACAAAATAGTTCCGTAATTGTAGCCACCTTTTTTTTCTCAGTATCCCACCCCATTGTGGCATATGATTCGACCATTTCTGTGTGTGTTTTTTGGGCCTGATTAAAGAGCTGCACAACTTTCGGCTGCCATTGGGACCTCCTCCTTCCTTTTTTAGGGGACAAAGTATTCGCTTTTTTTGGCGTTTTATCTGGTTGTCGATGCTTGTGGCCCTCCAGTTTCGCTTAACCCAGTTGCCAGGCTGTTTTACCAGTTTTATAATCAGCATTCTCGAAATAAGGAAAACTTTGCTATGTAAATTAAATGCCGAAATGCCCGCAACTTTGTCCTGACATTTTCTCGCTGCTTACCCAGAAATAAAAAAAATATACATATATATTCACGAAACAAAATAAAATTCGTGTATATATATTTGTACGTACACTTTTTTATTGTCGCCGGCAAAATAAATGTGGTTTAAACATGACAAGTCGCCGTGGGCTGCCAGCTCGTTATCACCAAATATTTTTGCACACGAAATGAGTGAATAAATAAGCCGGGGAAAGCTGGGAAAGTCAGAGGAAAACAAGGCAAATAGCTCCTCAGGAAGTCAGAGGTGGATCGGAGGCACCATGGCCACAATGGTAGCGGTTGGGCCGCCGTTTATGGTCGTCACTTTTTTGGCCGCTTGTTTGACAAATAAAACGTGAAATGTCAGCCAGCCGGACCGAAAGCCAAACAAAAAAGAGTAACCAATAAAAGCTTAATTAACTGTTTATGGCCATGGCATGTTAACAGGAACGTGCCGAAATTCGTCCTTAGCCATTAATCTCAAGTGGACAGGGAGCCATCGTCCCCCAGAACACCGCAAACCCAAAATGCCAAGGCTTTAATGAGAAAAAACCTCGAGTTTATTGATCCTCATTATGAGCACCTTTTTCATTATTAAGTAACTAAAAGATATATTGAAAATTTATATTCAATATTATTTCATACCCCTTTTTAAGTTACAAGTATGTCGACTACTACCTTTCATTTATTCAGGGCTGTCAGCTAATGTATTCGTTCCACTCAAAGCCAGATTCGTACGGGAAACAGATCAAAACACACACACTTGTACACTTGCATATTTATATATTTGTATATATTTTGACTAAAAATCTAGGCATCTCTCGCTGCAACCGAAGATCATGTCAGAGGCAGACAGCATCGTCAGGAGAAAGTTCGAGATCTCAGCAGCAACGCCGAACAACAGTCACATTTCGCTTCGAACCGAGTTGAAAATAGTACTGGAAAAGCAAACGGAGGCTGAAGAGCAGCATGATCTAGGTAAAATTACTGATAAGCGGCAGGAGAGGGCAACGGAAGTCCAGGAGAACTTGTCAACATCGCAAAAGACTGAGAACCAGGAGTCTAGCGAAGATCTTGATGAAGACTTGGAGGAATTTCTAACTCCAGAAAGCAGTGGTGATACGTCCTCTGTGCACAAGAAGTTCAGTCAGTCGGAGGAAGCAAGGGACTCTGAAGAAGATCTAAGGCCTCAAGAAGGTTGTGGTGATACGGAGGATTTGAGTGCCAACTCGTCCTTCCTTTCCTGCTCCTCGTATGAGCAACTCCGGCAATCGATTCTCAAGAGAGACCGCCGCACATCCACATTAAACTTTAGAAGCCTGATCGATTTGGACTTCGCGGAGGATCTGGAGACAACCTTCTCCGGTGTACAGCTTAGCTGTGCCTCTTCCACCAGCAGCATAATGAAAGGCAGATCCCTGAGCCTTACGCCCAACAGCAGTGAAAGGACAATCGATGTTGAAATCAACAAGAGTGTTTGGCCCTATTTCAAACGTTCCGATATCGATAGCGCCCTGTCGGTCTTTAAGCAAGTGGATGAGGAAAAAAATGGTTATATATCGCTATGCGGACTCAAGAGATTCCTCGAACTCCTGGAGATACCACAAACCCACTTGAAGACCAAGAAGATGATGGCCCAGGTGGTGAAGGGCCAGGAGGATCGACTGAACTTTAGCGATGCTCTGCTCATCTATGGATCCCTGAAGCATCGCCTGGTTCCGCTCAAATGGAAGCTGCAGCATTGCGAAAAGGGTCAAATTGTCATTTGCGATGAGGTCGATGTTGCCCAGGTGGGCGTGAGTGGAGCCAAGCTCTTCTTCGAAGCGAAGATTGCTCTGCAAACACCGAGATATTCAAAGGATACTACCAAGGGCAGCCCTGAAGTTCTCAAGAAACCCCAAAGCGAGCCATGATCCGTTGCGTTTAAATTTCACGTTGAATAACTGCTAAATTTCACGTTTATTTGCTGACTGACCTTGGGTCTACCACATAACTTCCCCATAAATCATTTTCCAATAAAAAAAAAAAGAAAAAAAAAAGATTCAGAAACGCGAACTCGACTTAAGTGACCAATCAAAGGTAATTGGCGGGCGGCAGAAACAATGCTCCTCCCATCCTCTGAAACATGGCAACTTTTCAATTTTATTTTTCCCTTTTGTTATTTTGGGCAGAGGCAGTGCACTTAAGTTGGTGGTTTTTTAGCTAAAATTATTAATATTTTTAGATAGTAAATAAGTTACTCAGCATCCCTTGGTTTAAATATTCCTTAGAAAATATAGAAGTTGAAAGCTAACTATTTATTTGAACTGTTTAAAGAATTACTATTTCTTCTCAATGCAGAATATTATATCTCTTAGAAAAAACCTAGAAAACCCGTCATCACTGATTGCTGACTTTCAGTTCTTAGCCACTTTCCGATTCCTGTTGGCCGGGGCAACGACTCCCCGAGGAGCGAAATGGGCGCCACACACGCCAAGTGGCAAGTTGTGCGACTTTTCCGGAAGTTGCCCGACGGCCTCCAGTCCTTGGAGGACATAGAAATATTTTCGTGCAAATAATTTGCGCGCTTAACTACGCCGGGCATTCGGATACGTATTTGCATGCCCTCTGGGACGCCACCAAACTAAGCCGAGTGCCGATCTTTTGCACAGGATATCAAAAATAAAGTTGGCTAGCCAAAAAAAAAATAGTACGAGGTGGCATGCCATATAATTATGCTGCCATTACAGCGGCTAGCTGTGTGCTAATATTTATAACTGATTTGGATTTGGGGCCTCGAAACCGAACCGAACACACGCCATATACAAATTAAAACGAAAACGGTGGCCAACGCTGCGTATACGCAATATCCCAGCGAATTGTGTAATAAAAATCCAACTAAAGTCATGCGAAAATAATGAGCCTGAGCCAGAGGGCGACGCATAACCGAAGCGAGGGGGAAATAGTTTTCAAATTAAAATAAATGCCGCAGCTGAAACAACTTTTATGCGCCCACAACCGAGAAGGGAGGACTCTTTCTCTCTCAGCCAACCAAAATGCCATGAAAGTAAATTCAGTAGAAAATTAATTATGAACGACGATGGCGATGGCAGGGCTGATGGTGACGTCGTAAGTGAAACCAATGCAGCGTTTAGCGGAAAACCCAAGGGTAGTGCCGGGGAAAGGCATGACCAGCCATACCTTTTAATGGCATTGCCATCAATTTCGCTCAATTGCGCGCACAATCGCATCTAATCACGTTGGAACGACCCCCGAAAAAATCTAACTTTAGGCCAAGAGAAGGTTCCAGGGTTTCTAGACAAAAGAAATACCCATTAGCTGGGAAAATTTAGAAGAAATAAGAGGTACCTATTGACAATAAATTGTAATATTAAGAAGGTATAAATATATTAACAGACATTTCTTATTAAAAGTTTTAATGAAAAGAATTATTCGTTAAGCTCTTTATAGCTTTAAGTCTCAAGATTTTACTTGCTAAATAATTGTATAAATGTATTTATTTCTTTATAATTAGTTTTTTTTTTAATTCTAAAAGTAAAACCTTTTCGTCCTGTCTGTCATACCTTTTGCCAACTCCAGATGCACTTTAGTGAGTAGGGACAACTTTTGGATACCCTTACAAAATGTTTATGGTTATTGCTTTATGACTGCCTCAGCCTGAGTATGTGTGTGCGTGTGTGCTTGTAGAGGATGTGAAAAGGGGAAAAGGGTCACGTGTCAGATGTCATTGACATGGTTTGCCTTGCCTTTAAGCGCTCGCAAACAAGCCAACACAAACACATACACACGCAGATGAGAGTGAAGGCATCAGCAGAAGGACGGGCCACGCCGGAAAGTATGCCACGGTTTTTGCCTCATTTGCGCTCAACTTTTTCTGGGTCCCGAGAAAAACCTACAAGACCTTCCTTCCACATCCTCCACACTCACTACCAATTGCAATTAGTTGATGTAATAATTTTTGGCAGCTGCGTAGAATACCCAGGATCCTCAAGCGGTGTTTCTCCTTCCTCTACTCATAATTGACAGGAACCGAGATGCAGAGGCCAGTTCTCTGGGGATAGCGAGGGCCGGCGGGAAAATGAATAAATAGGCACATGTCAGAGCTGTCAGCATGCCTTAAATTCAATGTCACCCAGGGCACGATGTCTAATCCTGTGTCCAGCAATTCAAGTCCTATATGCTTTGCATACACTGAAAATAGTATTTGTAAACGAATTTCTTAAAAAACAAGAGAACTTTGAGACGATCAAAGTTATTTACTATTTTAAGTATTCAAGAACTTACGAAATGTTTAGAAATAAACTTTGTTATATATTTTTTTTGTGTGCAAAAGCTTTTAAAATAGAAGCGAAATGTTATATTTAGTTCCCTCCCCATCTTATACCCTTTTCACTAAGTTTTCTCTTGAAGATCCCTAAAGGACCCAGAACAGAAACCATATCATATTCCCCCATGTGCGTGAGTTGGGAAACTCAGAAAACTTACATTTCTATTTTAGAGCCACAGTTTTGGGTCAACGCCCCGAATCAAGTAACAGCAATAAATTTTATTGGTAAGCCACGTGTCCGGCTAATTAGAAATTGATACATGAAAAGTGGGAAAACCAACATTTGCTGGCAATTAAATTCGATTTTTAAATGACTTCCTAACCATATCAATAACACAAATATGAATAGTTATTGCTGAACACAATGTTATCCTATGAAAATCGAGTTCCAAATGTGGCTGAATGATATGGAAAAGGATTCTTTTTATTTATTATAACGTATTAAAACGTAAAACAAATTGATTTTTCCCTTTTATTATTTAAATAGGAATACATTCTACTTAATATCCAAAATAACTACCTAAACAGAGGCTTCATATGTGTTAATCAATTCATATTATCATTAAAGTCTTTTATTTAATATAATTGAAATGTCATAACAATTTATTACATTTTATGATATTTCTTTACTACATTTGCAACAGTGTAAAAACCCAAAACTAAAGATTGCAGCAAATATTGGTAAAAATATAAGGGAGGGCTTTATTTAAAGGAGCACCAAAAAAACCAATCATTGGCATTCCCCAACACCCTAGATCCTGCGAAGTTTTCTCTTTCCTCTCCTCTGAACCATCTTACATTTGCCTAGTTGGTGTTTTTCTTAACTTTATGGCAAGAGTATTTTTGTTGGCTCGCAGCTCCCGCAAAACTGCAACAAGAAACCCAGCTTTTCGATTCAATTTCCGTGTTCACAATGCGCTTGTTGCTATTTTGCATAGTCAGGAAGAAGCAGGGATTGTATTTCGGAAAGGGGATTTACACGAGGAGATGTGTGGGATGGAATGGGAGTATTGAAAACATTGGCAGCTTCTGGCGTAGGCGTGACTGGGTTCCGTGTTCTTCGCTGAAAAGTTTCCTTCGCCCCGTTCGTCCTTAGTCCTAAGTAATTCGCTAACATTGCAAGATTTATGCACTCGACACCGGCAAAAACTTGAGCTCTAGTTGCATTTCGCAGTGCCGTTGAAATGCGAGTGGGAATTACGTGGGTTTTGAAGCGATACTTGGATCAGGGGGGGAAATTTATAGTAAATTGCTAAACAAAATTATATTTTAAGATTCTAACTATTCTTAATATATTTTTTAAGTGAAATCGAGATTAGAGAAGTGCAAGGATCCTTCCTCAGGCTTTTGTTTTTGGTTGGTGCTCCGCAAGAAAACAGAAACTTCCGGCTGCATATCAATAACGAAATATGCCAAAGCTTTTTAAAAGAAGAAAATCTTAGTAATAAAGTGGCCAAGATTGAAGAGCATCGCTTAGCTGAATTTTATTGCTCTGAAAAGGAAATTTCAACAGCGATAGATCAGGTTTATCGTGACCAGCAGACAACTTAAATGAAATTAAGTGTAAAATTATCAAAGTAGCTGCTAGCTTACAAATGTCATGATGGAAAACCAAAAAAAAAACTAGAAAAAGTTAAGGAACAAAGAAAATCTCCAAGCCGCCAATCTATGCAACATTCATTTTTCTTTTGTCATACATAGAAGCCAAACGAGCTTGATGTTGAAAAATTGAAAAAACGAGACCCAACGACTAAAGAAAAAAATGAAGAAAATAGGGAAATGGGTGGAGGAGCTGAGAAAGTCTTTGCCTGACGCGCTTAACCCTTTGCCCTCGAGTCCTTTTTTGCTCCCATTCCTTGGGATGATACTGAAAGGCAAGTTTCATAATGATAATAATTTTGTGCATGATTTATGAATGAACAAGTTTTATGGCCCCGAAACGAGCCGAACCAGGCCAGCGTCTTAGCCGTAAAGCCAGTGCAAACGTTAATTTCCATAGAGTAGCGCTGCCTGACCAGAGGTCCTTCGTCCTTCGTCCCCGAGACTGGCCCACCTTATTGCACTTTAATATTTATTTCGACTTTGGAGCATAGTAAATTTGCATCTTTCAGCGTTCAAATTTCCACGAGACCAGGTGGAGCAGGTGGGAAAAACTGGGTGCGAGCTCAGAATGTGTGCGAGTGTGTGTGTGAGAAAACCCTTTTGAAAATCATTTCGGTGTGAAATTGTGTCCGCACAGGGAGAAAGAGAGTGAGGTGAAAGTAAGAGAGAGAGAGAGTGAGCACGTGAGCTCATTGAAAATGCGCGCTAGTAAAAGTTTCCCCTGCCCGAGAAGCAGTGAAAAGCTGGCTGGAAAAATCGGAGGACAGGGGGGGAAGGCATGCAGGAACGAAGGTAATGCTCTGGTACTTGCTTTTGGCCCCGGCTCCAATTCGAGTCCGGCTCTGTTTTTCGCCATTAAATCGAGGTCCCAAAAGTATGCTAGACTTTACCCATTTCTTTCCAGTATTCTCTACACTAGGTAGCCGCAGATTAGAAGGGTATATAGGTTCTACGGTGATAATTGTAATCCATAAATCATATTTAATTAAGTGTGAATAAGGGATAATTTATAAAGAATAATTATGAATTGATTGCGGTTACTTTTAGTAAAAGTATCACTTTACATAATGGATATATTATGCTATATCTTAG